AGTACCAGTCTCACTATCTATGGTGTGGGGGTAATAAGAACCAGCTTCCGAGGGATGCTGTGAAGGCCCAATGAGATAGCACGTTAGTGCTTATTACCATGACTGGCACCCAGTGCCACAGTGTCACATGCAGTATGTGGCACCTAATGGTAGCTTCTGTTATCGTGATTTTTAATAACAAAGTGATTAGCATGCAATCAGTACGCCATCAGTGGTAGAACTGTTATTGTTGCTGTTATTTATTTATTGCATTTTTTTTAAAGATTTATTTTACTTATACAAGAACCGGGGTACAGGCCAGATGCGCGGGAGGGTGAGAGGATTCTCCAGAGTGGGGAACAGCATGGGCAGAATGAGTGAAATATACTTCTGAGGGGAGCAGCGGGCAAGACAGGAGAGGTCTGCCCTGCCATGTGGGTTGTTCTGAGGCTAGTGGGGATCGAACTGGCACTGCAGAGGCTGCGGACAGCTTCACAGCACTGCGCTCAACCGCCTGCACCACCAGGGAGGCCCCACTGTTATTTATTAAAACAGTCTGATCATGTGCATCTCGTGTCTGAAATCCCTCAAGTCCTTAAGCCCTCAAGGGGGTTTACTCACTGTACTGTTTAGTGCTCAGGAGCTCTGAGGCTGAGTACTTGCCTGTTTGATCTTCAAGGAACTGAGGGTCAGAGTGATACCAAAATGTCCAGGGTCATATAAATGTGAAGTTACAGAGCTGGGAGTCCAGACTAGTTATTTCACCATTCTTCCTGATGCACCTCGTGACCCAGGCACAGTGGACCTCTCTCTCTTCCCAAAGCTCCTCTGATAGCTTCATATTTATGCTGCTTTGCACAAATCGTTCCATTGCCTGGAATCCTCTTTCTACCTCTCTGCTCCACCTAAGCTGCATCCTGTCTGGGAAGCCTCCTGAGTCCTCAATTATCATTGCTTCCATGCTGGATGCTTCAAAGCTGGGTGTCTCTGTTGGAGCCTGATCCTGCATTGTGAAGGTCTGTTTTGTATTTGACTGTGATCCCCAGCCTGGACCTGGTCCAACCCTTCCCTGTTATCCCAACCTCATCGTTGACTGAGTGCAGGATGAGTGGTAAATGAGCCAAACCGAGGATGATTCTAGGCTGGCTATAAAACTGCTGGGAGGGCTCCGACCAGCCATCTCATTCCAGCATTGCCCTTGCCCTGAGCTCATATGCATGAGGGGAGAGTCAGCAGGGCAACCAGAGTCCTGCGGGGCTAAGGCCTGGCATCCTGGCATGACTCCACACATTGGCCTTGCTGCAGCCAGTTGCAAGATGCAAGACAGGATGTGCAGTTCAATTAGAATCTCAGATAATCTACTTTTTTTTTAAAAAAAAGATGTTATTTATTTATGCATACAAGAACTGGGGTACAGGCCAGAGGTGAGAGGCCAGAGGGTGCGAGGATTCACTAGAGACAGAGTGGGGAGCAGAACAGACAGATCTACTGAGATACACTGTTGAGGGGAGCAGCAGGCCAGACAGGAGAGGTCTGCTGTGCCATGTGGGTCAGCTCTCTGGCCAGGGATCGAACTCAGGTGACAGTGGCTAGTGATAACATGATAGCACTGAGACTTAACCCCTTGAGCCACCAAGGAGGCCTCCCCCACTTTTTTTCAGTGTGGGGTAGTTTTGTGAAATATTTGGGCATACTTGTATTGCTTTTAATCTGAAATTCAAATTGAAAGGTTTGTCCTATATTTTCATTTGCTAAATCTGCCGACCTAATAGCCCAGGTACATGCCCTACCCTGGCATGTCTGCAGAGATGGTCTCTGGGAGCTGCCTAGCGTGTCCATGCATGCTAGCTCTGGGCCTGTTTCCATACAGACAGGTGATTTTCTAACATCACATTTCTGAGATATCGATTTCTTCCCAGTCTGCACCTCTACCATCAGGACTGTTTCATCACCTACCAGTCACTGCTCTTCAGACAGCAGTGTTGATGGCCACTCCCTTCCCCCCAGCATTTGTGATCATTGTGCTTATGCTGTGTCCTCACCGGCCCCAGTAGCACCAGCAGAATATTCCACAGCCATTTGAAGAAGGGAATAAGTCCTGAGAAACTTACTTGACAACTTCTGGGAAGATCAAGAAAGAGCCAGATTCACAAAAGCAAAAAAGGTATAAATGGCTTGGAAGAAAATTCCAGAAACACTAGCAGAGCCCACTGAAGAAGTACAATATCACTTATGTTCCTGATGTCTCAGGGGATGATCTTGGGGAGATCGTGGACACTGTGCACTCTGCAATGTGATCAGAGACCTAGACCCTGAAGAGGGTGGTTAGGAATACTCTTAGCAATTCATTGCACTTAAAATATTCTTTGCACTTATAGTATTCCTTGATCTATAATAATGATTAAATCAGCATGAAAGAACACTTTCATTAAGTATAAAGGGAGAATGTAAAGGATGATAAGGCATTAGGTCCCAGCACTTTCCCCTTAGTCTATGAAGCAATGGTTCCTTTACAATCAATGACACTGTGGATTGAATGAAACACAGGTCACTGAATTCAGTTAAACCATCAGTCAGTAGGCCTAGACTAATTGACTTGATGTGAAAGAAACCCAGCAGGTCATGAACTTTCTCTGGTGAGATGGCCCAGTGGGATGGGTCTAGAGGGATGGTCATTTTTCAGGGAAATCATGTTCTTTGCAGGAGGACTGCAGAGGGAGAGCTAGTGGCATTTTAGGAAGGGCAGCCTTTTGCAATGACGCTGTGTTCTAGGTGTGATGGGGTGTTCAGTATCCCCAGCTTCTACCATATTCTGTAGTGCCTCCCAGTCACTATGACAGCAGAAAAATCCCCAGGTCCCCATTCATTCCAGGCTCCTTCTGGTTGAGTCCACTGGATGCGGTTGGTTTAATAGCCCTGCTGCCAGTTGGCAAACAGCACCTAGTGCCCCCCTGGTAGCCTCGAGTCCTCATCTTCCAAGAAGTCACAGCACTGCCAGGATTATAAGATGAAGGTGTATGCCCAGGCTGGTTTGAAGGGGTTGGGGGCACAGCCCTGGTCATTTCTGCTGCCCTGGGCTGCCCCCAGCCAACCTTCCTCTGCCCTGTGTCCTCCTTCCTGGAGCAATTTCTCTGCATTCCTACAGGCAACCTCTGAGAGAGGCACGTCGCCTCCTTTTCATTTACATGGGGATTACTGGAGACCAGAAAAGTGCTTTAAAATGATATAATGTCTCTGCACCTCATCAAACCCTTCCCCTTCCACCAATTTCTGCCTGATTTACAGTTAATATTGCACACTCCCATCACCCTGCCGGAGAAGCGGTGATTATTTCTCCATTGCCATAAAGAATGTAAAGGAGATGGGAAAAATCAGGTGAATTCAGAGAAAGTTTAGTATAAAAAAAAGTGCTGGGGGAGGGGGTATCAGGGAAGGCAGTATAATAATGGGAGCAAAAGTATTCCTGGAACCAATTTCAGAGTCAAGTGGCTCCTCAGGGCCCTGCAGGGAGCCTGCGGGGGGTGGGGGAGGCCTGGTGCTCCTGACAGATGCAGGCCCGGTGGGCTTGGGGGCGGGAGGTGATCTGAAGCCTGACCTGGGTGGTTGCAGCCTGGGGGTGCGGTCTGGATGAAGAGCAACCCACCCTAAGAGTGTGAGAGCCGGGACCCCGGAGCCTGGGCGAGCCTGAGGTGAATACCTCATGCTACAGGGGTTTCTCTTGGGAAGCAGAGGGCAGAAAGGAGGCCAGGGATTCAATGAGGGGAGTGGAGACATAACTCCAACTTTGGAGGAGCAGCGGAAGGAAGGGAAATGTTTGCTGAGAGGAAGAAGACCTTGCCCCTTCTGCAGGGCCCGAGGGGAGGGTGGGCCACTGGTGGAGCAGCTGCTGAGGCAGGAAGAGGGTGGTGGGAAGGAGCAAATGTAGCTGTGCCTCTGCTGAGCTATGTGCTCCGGGAGGATGCAGTCTTGTCTGATTTCTCTTGTTTCCCGTGAGCTGGCTTTGTGCTGGGCATATAGTAGGTCAGGAAATGTTGGGTGACCTCACTCCCTCACAGCTGTCCCCTGGGAACCAGGGTTCAGGAGGTAGCGTGTTGCTCATCCATGGATTTGTGTGAGCCGAGGCCAAATAGCTATGGCAATGCTTGAACCAGACGCCTCTTGGAAGGACAGTACAAATCCTGGATTTCATATCTGGGGGTACACGTCATTCAGGTGGTGGAATTATAAACCAAAGCCCATTGACACAGCAGGAGGGTTTTATGTCCCCCCTCAACCCTGGCCGAGCCCTCCCTCTCCTCCCCCCACCTTTACTCTGGAAGCCCCTGGCAGAGGAAGTGGGTCCAGGCTAGGGGCTGGGGCAGAGTGGGAGGGAGGTGGCCCATCCTTCCTGAGCCTGCCGGCAGTGGCAGCCTCTAAGGAGCTCACCTGGAAGTGACCTTCCCTTGCCCTTCAGCACAGGCCACCTGCAGGCTTCCCTGGGTTGCACCCGGCACCTCTCCAAGATGCTGTAGGCAGCTTCTAAACACAAGCCAAGGGGGAAAGAATTCAATGTTTCGGGAACAAACACATAGCAATGTTTCCATTTTCAGAATTGCTTTTCTGCTGAGTCTCTGGTGATGACAGGGGTGCCCTGGCTGGTGCTAGAACAGGCAGAATAGGCGCCAAGGGCATTGGCATTCCTGGGCACACCAACATAGCCACAGACATGGGGGCATAGACACACTGCTGCACCTGCTATTGAAAACACATCTCTTTGCAAGGGCTCAAGATCACACATACCTGCACACACATACACACACACACCTGCACCACAGAGGCACAGTACGGGCAGGTTCCACTACCAAACATATGCACCTGCACTTAGAGAAGACACACCTGAAACCATGGCAGGACACTCATGCATGCACATGAGGTGTGCCCAGAACACAGCTATGGGTGCTCAGCAGGAGCCTCACGCAGAGGGAGACGAGCCCGCCACCCGTGTGTGTACATGCACATGGGTGTGCCTCAGGGACACCATGCAGCCATGCGCACATACTCACGCAGGACACTGCTCACGCACAACTTCCCCCTCCTTTCACAAATGAGTGTGATACAACACAGCCGAGCGGGAAAGACAGTATGGTTCAGATCCTGAGCCGGCCCTTTCTAGCTCCTATGACCATGAGCAAGTTACTCAGTGTTTCTATGATGCAGTTTCTTTGTCTACAAAATGAGAATAACAACAATTACCTCCCTGATTTTGACGTTAATATGTGGGAAGCCTCTGACCAGTGGCTTGTCTGGGGTAAGCCTTTGACTGCCATAGTGAGAAAGAGGTAAGCCAGCACAGAAGCAAGGTCGCAAGAGGCCTCCATTTAATTCCTGACCTTGTCGTTTAGGCCTCTGTGACTCTCGGCTCTGGTTTCATTTCTCTGTGCCTCAGTTTCCGCCCTTGTGAATGGGATGGGCGACTTTTACTGACAGCTTTGCAGGGCTCAGGAGATGCAGCTATTCAGGATCTGTGAAGCGTGGTGATTCTTGAGCGAAGCATCACTGGTGGAGAACCACAGGATACGGGACACTGGGGCCTGGCGATGGCCTAGGGGTGCTGACGCATGGGGCGGGGGTCCCAGTGTCTATGCTCACCACCCGAGTCTCCCACGCGGGGTTAGCTTGTGTGTGTGTGTTGAAGTCCAGTGGGGCTTGGAAGGAAGAACACTGCAGTGTCTATACTCCACGGAATTCTGGGATCAGAGACTCTGCCTCTTCTTTGGAGGGTCCTCCTCATCTTCCTAAAGGTGTTATTTGGAGAAAGAAAGAGCCAGGTCAGCCAGATAAGTCAGCGCTTTTGGTTTCACTGGGACCATGAAAGAGACCATGGCAGGCCGTGTCACTTGGCCAAGGAATATTCCAGCATCTTCCAGTGTCCTTAGTGGAAACTCCATTGCCTCTTCTAGACCTTCAAGATCCTCCATAAGCAGTCTCTTTCCACCTCACCCCCCTCTCACTGCCACCCTCCTTGTTCACTCTACTGCACTCTGGCGGCCTTCTCTCTGCCCCAAGCCTGCTCCTGTCCCTGCAGGCTCCTCTGCCCGGAGTGCTCGTCCTCCAGACTGGCTGCTCCTCACCTGTGGCACTCAGAGAGGCCTGCCCTGACCTGCCTGCTTCCACTCTACCCACTGTTGTGCTTTATTCCCTCAATTTAGTGCACCATCACATCACCTATTAACATCATCTTTTAAAGATATATTTATTGCTGGCCTCTCCCCAACCCCTGACACACACACAATAATGGTGGCCCTAACACATCTCCCCAGGGTCTGGCACATAGCAGATGCTTAGTGAGTATGCACTGTAGCATTCTCACCTGCTGCTGGGGACTCAGGAGTTCTTGGGGGCAGGTGACCCACTGGTGATATGTGGTGAACAGTTAAGTGCCAGGGCTGTGAGTGATTTTTTTTTTTTTTTAAAGAAATCAGAGCAGAGTCGAGGTCCTTCCCATCACAAACCCTTTCTCATACCCCAACATGGGTTCTGGTGAGACAGAGGAAGATGGAAATTGCCCCCCTAGTCCCATCTGCCTCAGCTTTTCAGAAAGACCCGTGAGTGATGGACTGTTATCAGGGTTACAAACTCACCTGATGCTCCTTGTCTTGGACATGCTTTTGGTATCATCAGAACCTGGGTGCTGGGTGTGCCCATGAGATTTTATCCTCAGGTAAACTTCCCATGTACTTAAGAAGATAGCGACAAGAACCCCTAGTGCAGGAGGTGGGGGAACCTGCAGACATGGGGGAGAACAAATGCTTGCTGTTGTAAGCCACTGAAATTAGGGGGTGTTTGTCATGTGGCATTATCACAACTGTTGTTGACTAATACATGAGGCAGGTGAGTGAAAGTGTTGTGTTAATAAGAAAGCTCTTGCCCAAATGACTGTGATGCAAGGTGCAGGGCATCCTTTTGGGTGGGGTGCCCATAATGTTATTGGTAATGTTGGGATCTTCTAACTCATCTGTCTTTTTGTTTTAAATTAAGTTTTAGTCCCAGTCCAAGGCCTGGAACACTGTTGGTGATCAAAAATTATAGACTGAGGAAATGAGTGAGTAGCAGGCCCGAATCTTTTTTTTTTTTTTAAATGGATTTTTTTTCAAATATTTATTTATTTATTTATACAAGCACTGGGTACAGTCAGAAGCATGGGAGGGTGAGCGAATTCACCAGAGCTAGAGGGGAGAGCAGAAGGCAGATTGATGAAGTACACTGCTGAGGGGAGCAGCGGGCGGCAGGAGAGGTCTGCGCACCATGTGGGACCCTCACCTGGTGGCCGGGGATCGAACTGGTGCTGCAGAGGCTGTGGGCAGCTTTGCAACCCAGCGCTCAACTGCTGTGCCACCAGGGGAGGCCCAACAGGCCCGAATCTTGATCCATAAATCAACTGAACAAGAACCATTACATTTTTTAAGTTAAAAAAGTAGAGTAATTTCTAATCTCTCCTAGGTGCCTGCGAGGAGCCTGGGAATAAGCCAGGCTCTACAAGAGAAGTCCATTTTCTCATCCATTTGATTTCCTGCCTCTAAGGGCTGAGGACAGCCCAGTGGAAGAACATGAGACTTGGTTCAGGATGATTTGAGTTCAGATCCTGGTTCTGCACTTCCTAGACATGTGACCTTGGGTGAGTCATTGGTTAGAATCTCAATGTCCTCATCTGTAAAATGGGACTAGTGATTCCTTCCTCCCTGGGTGGTTGCAGGGTTCAAAGATCTGATGCAAGGTTCTCAGGGCAGTGCCTGTTTAGGAAAAGGGTCAGGAAATGGCTCTCCTGTGGCTCCTAAGCTGGTGAGTCAGCTCATTCTGTTTTAGGAGAGTAAAGAGTCTCCAGCTATAAGGATCAGTAGCTCCTGGCCAGCCTCAGGGGATCTGGGACCTCCTCTGCTCCTTCCCCATCCCCTCAGATTATCTTGAAGCAAATCCCAGAATCAATCTATTTATTTTCTCTTCTTCTATGGATGCTTGAGATTTTACATAATGAAAAATGACAACGTGGTGATGGCAGGAGATAATTTATGCAATGTGCCTGGCACTCAGCAGGGTTCTAACCCCACCTGGGATGGGGAAGGACTTCTAAACAAAGCATCTCATCAAGGACAGAGAGAGTTAAAAATTTACATATTTCAAGAAACAACATACATGCAATTAAAGGCTAACCAACTAAAAAACAAAGATTTTCAACAAGTATAACAAAAGGGGTTAATATCCTTGTTATATACCGAGCGCTCTGACAAATCATTAAGATAACACTAACACTTCAATTACAAAATGGGAAAATAACATAAACAATTCACAGAAGATGAACTACAAATAGTCAATAAACATGTGAAAAGATGTTCCACTTCACCAGTAATCAAAGATATATAAATTAAGACAAAATGCATTTTAAGCTACTAAATCAGCAAAGATTTAAAAACCGGTAATGCCCAGGGCCCACTAGGAGGAAGTGACACAGCAATTCTCAGATTCTATTGTTGGTGATTTAAATTGGTAGCTCTCTTCTGAAAGCAAGTCAGGACTAGACATCGAAAACTTAAAATACAAACTGGGACTATGTATCAAGCACCACAAAACCTCCTATCCTCTGGAGCTGGGATTCCACCTCTAGGAAACACTCAAGAATTCAGTTTAAAATTGATACACAATGACATTCATTATTTATAATTGAAATTTTTAAAAGAGGAGCCAATCTAAATATTCCACAGAAAGAGAGTGGTTAAACTATAGTACATCTATATGATATAACATTCCACAGTTATTAATAATTATATTTTCCAGGAATTTTTAATGGTGTGGAAGAAGACTTACTCTCTAATGTTAAAAGAGAAAAACAGGATACTGAGCTATATGTTGTCATGCTCTATAATTCCAATTATGTAAATAAATACATATACATGTAGAAGGGCGATCAGTGAGGCAGAACGAAAATATTGTAGAGAGATTCTGTACTTTTTAAAACTTGCTAGCAGATTTAAGTCCCTACTCTGATGTTAAAGTCACCTTGGAAACACGGTTCTTTGTTTTAAAGGGTTGTCAGTTACCTGTGTGTAGCAAGATGCCCATTTAGTGTCCCTGGAATATTATACCCAAAGGCAAATTACTGAAACTGAGAAGTAAAGTATTTTATTATTATTATTCATTTTCAGAAGAAAAGATCTTGTTTTGCGATGGAGTGGATCTACATCTCAGAGAGATGTTTTTGACATCAAAAGATTCCCCTCTTTTTGCAGGGAAAGAAGAGTAGGGAGAAGGAAAGGAAAGATGGTTAAGAAAGGTCTGGTTCATTCATTCAATAAGGGATGATTTTCTGCTACGTGGTTGGCTTGTTTTAGATCTCAGCATATTGTCAATCCAGATCAAGTACCATCTAGTTGAGGGAAACAGCAAACCAGTGCAATAAGTGTTCATTTGATGGTTTTGTCAAATGTCTACACTCATGCAACTACCATCGCCTTTGAGATATAGAACATTCCCATCACCCTTGTTCCTCTTCGCCATCAATGCCTGCCTCCCTGCCCTGGCCAACCACGAGCCTGTCCCTGTTACGGGCAGTATGGGCTCTTGTATCTGCTCAGCACACTGGTTTTGAGATTCACTCACATTGTGTCTATTAGTTTTTTGCTTCATTTTTCCTTGTATGTCTCTACCCAAGGCATTTATCCATTCACTTGTTGATGGGTATTTGGAGTTTCCTCATTTGAGTCTTTAATGAATAAAATGGCTGTGAGTATTCCTACCTGCATATGGACACAAGTACTCATTTCTCTTGGTTGAGTGGAGTGGAATTGTGGGTCCTAGAGGGACTGCTTATCCTTATCCCTGGGCAGAAACGATGTTTCCTGTGTCTGTGCTGTGTCCCCGGCACAGGCCACTCTTCTGCGTCATCAACCTCCTGCCTTGTTGCTGGAGCCCACTGATACTGTGCTAAGGGTTCTCTGTTCTCTTATCCCAGCCCCCTGACCTAAGACCCCCAGCAGGGGTTATACTCAATGGAGGCTTCCAATGACTAGAACAATCCAATAATCTCTGTGCTGGGTCTTATCTTCTACCCCAACTGCCTCTTCAAGTCATTTCCCAATGAACATGGTTTTTAGCTGAGGACAATTTTGAGGACCGCCATTAAGTTAATACATAATTTTTAATTATCACCTCAAGCCCTGCCTGGGCTAATTCTTAATGGAGCCAGGGCTCTCCCAGAGACAGGTGGGACTGCCAGGAGCTGAAACCAGTATCCAGGCAGGAGAAGGACCTCTGTGTACACCCCTGGCTGCCTCCACCCAGCAGCCGTGACGCCGCCCTCTCCCAGTTCTCTACTTGTGTTTCCTCAAGGAGATCGTGAATATTTATCATGTATTAGGTGAAAAAAGAAATGGAACAGGAGGAAATTGTGTTACTGCATATGAAATTTGCCTGAAAAGTTTCCACTTTCCTCTAGTTGGAAAATAGTTTTGATTTGAAATATGAAGCTTCTCTCCAACTTATTATCTCAGAGACGAGAATGGAAAATGATGCTCCTCGGGCTTCAGGTGGAGCCGCTGGAGGTGGTGGGCGTTTACGGGCACCAGGAATTGTCTGTAGAAATTGCCCCCGTGCATCAAAATTGCAAATTTCTTTTTTCTTCCCTCGCTGCTTCCCCCACCCAAATTTCCCTGTAGCTAAAAAATGGAAGGGAGCAGAGGGGAGAATGCAGTGGGCGACAGCAGGGTCCCTGCATCAGACAGAGAAGGAGGCTTGTTGTGTCCTGTACAGACATCTGGCGGCAGCAGCCTTTGCTCCATCTCATTCAGTTCCAAGCTGGAAGGGATCTCACAGGCCACAGAGCCCAATTCCCAAATATTCTCTGCTTTTCTGGGTCACTGCTCCCTTTGAGCTTCAGAAATCAACTGTGGATTCACCCTCCAGAAAAGCACACACGCACACCAACTTGCGCCTTTGCCTTGACAGCATTTGTAGAGTCCCTAAATACAATCCACAAGACACTTCCAGGTCAAAAACACTCTACTGAGCCATTTAAAACCACCACAACAAGATCATAATAAATGCTATTTATTGAGCACTTAGGTGCCAGCTACAGCACTAAGCTTCACTAAATGAGTTAACACGTGGAGAGGTGCTTAGCAGAGTGTCTGGCACATAGTAGGTGCTTTTACGATTGTAATTCTCATGTAATCCTCACAATAACTCTCAGCGCTCTTATCCCTTTAGCATAGAAGAGAATCCTGAGACTCAGAAAATTTAATTAATTTGCCAAACATCAGCAGCAGCAAGTAGCAAGAATAAGGTCTTTCTGACTCTGGGCTTGTGCTCTTAATATTCCCGTTGCAAAGCGTCCTCACCTCTCCTTGTACCCCTCCAGGACAGGGTACCCACACTCACTTGAACTGGGCACCTGGATTATTCTCACTCTTGGTAAGACTTTCCCTTACCTGAGGGTCAACCTGCTCCCCAATCTTAGCCCTGATCTCTATGGCCACAGAGGCACATAACAGCAGCACGTAGCATGTAGCATGTAGCATGGAGGTACTGGGGCTGTCCTGTCATAAGCTGTGCAAAGAACTGAATCCAGTCATGCTTTCTTCTGGTTCTGTTCCTTCCACTGCATTCTAGAGATTTGCTTAAACTCTCAAATCTTGAAGCTGGTGGAGGTAAGATTCAACTGAGCATGTTAGTTTCCTGTGGCAGCTGTAACAAATGACCATAAATTGGGTGGATTAAAATAACAGAAGTGTATTCTCTCACAGTTCTAGAATCAGGACTCTGAGATCAAGGTGTTGGCAGGGTTGGTGCCTTCTAGAAACACTAAGAGAGAATTTGATCCTTGCCTTTTCCAGCTTCCAGTGACCGACAACTTTCCTTGGCTTGTAGACACCCCCCTTCAATCTCTGCTACTGTCTTCACATTGTCTTACCCTCTGTGTGTCATTTCCTTTTCTTTTAAGGTATTATTATTTTTTTTTTTACTAGATTTAGGTTCCTCCCAGAAAATTCAGGATGATTTCATCTCTAGATCCTTAGTCTAACTGCAAGAGCAATGACCCTTTTCTGACTTAGGTCTCAGGCACAGATTCCGCATGGATAGATCTCATTTTTGATGGTGGGATGGGGCACCATCAGCCTACCCTGTAGGGCCTGGCTCTCTCCAGAGCTTTGAGCTTGACAATTACACCCCAATAAAGAAGCCTTACATTGCCACACCAAAGGCAGAATGTGACCCACAGATATATTTGATTTGGTCTAACAATCTTTTAAGAGTAATTTGAACTGAACACTAGTTAGCAGTTGAAGACTTCTGATCCGTGGTTATGTAAAGCATCATGTTCTCTTCTCTTGGAAAACATCACAAAGCAACAAGTGCAAGAGAAAAAAAAAGGCCATTAAACTTCATTTTTAGTGAAACTAGATGGCAGGTTTAATCCCCAGACTCTAATTCATGTGAAAGGGCTGCCAAAGTCAGCTGAGACCAAGCAGGATCTCAATGAAGGAAGAGACAAAAAGCTGAACAGAGAAATCTTAGCAGTGAGAGTGTTAACAGCAAAACTAGGGGTACCCAGGGGCCCCCAAACCTGCATACTGTAAAGGGGTCTGGCCATCCATGTGCACACACAAAAAAAGAAACTCTTAGTGTGGAAGAACTTTAATAGAATTAGGGTGCATAGAGAAAAGAGAAAAAAGATGGACCCCACTTTTTATGGAGATTCCTCTGATACAAAAGGACTTGTTGCTGGGACATTAAAAAAATCTTCGGAGAAGAGGTCATTTGGGTGGACCCTAACCCAAAAGGGAGACATTAGAACCCAGAGATGGACAGAGACACAGGGGAGACAGTGGAAGACGCATAGGGAGAAGAGGACCGTGTGGCTGCCAGGCCGCAGTGACACATCAACAAGCCAAGAAACACCAAGGGCAGGTGCAGAAACCAGTGGCTACAAGAGACAAGGACAGATTCTTCCCCAGAGCCATCAGAGGAAGCAAGGACCTGCCAAAAAACTGATGTCACACTTCTATCCTGCAGAACAGTGAGACAATACATGTATGCAGTTGCAAAGCACTCAGTTTGTGGTGCTTTGATAAAGCCCCAGGAACTAATAGGTCATAAGGTCTTGGCACTAGGTTACCATTTTAACTTCAGTAAAAGAGGAATTTGGGGAAATTTATTAAATGAGGTGCGAGAACTTTCTAATAACATGACACATGTCTATGTATATACTAGCAATCTGACGGGCATGTTGTATACTTAACTGCAGTGAAGATAGAACAGCTACAAACTACAAACCAAATAAAATGACATCTACATGCATAAGTATAGAACTTACAAGAAATACAATACTCACAAGAAATACAATATTTACAAGAAAATTTGGGGTTTTTTGTTTGCCAGATTAAGTGGCTAAAAAGTAAATATGAATAAATAAGACTTAAATATAATTAATAAGGTGTATATATATATATATTTACCTGCTAGAGAGAGCCAGAGAGGGAGAGAGAGAACTCCTCTGCTGCAGTCTTTCTTCAGGTGTCCTTGGAACATTTCTAAAATTGACAATATTTAAAACTACAAATTAAACCTTAATAAGTTTCCCCCTTAAATGATAATAATACAGGCATCATTTTCCAGTCATAATGCAGTAAGGTGGGAAACAACATGACTGGAAAAAAGATAGTCACTGCAGCATGGAGGGGGTGCTGTGGAGTCAGGCTAGATGTGCAGAGGGAAAAGTACAACCTTAAATGCCCACCTATAGCCAACAAGGAGGAACGCAAGCAGAACATCCAACCTATGAAGTTAGGAAAAGAAGGACAAAATCAGCCTAAGGAAAGCAAAAAGACAATCTGTAACTTGAATGATGTACTGAGTTAAAAAGTAGAAAATACAGTAGCATAACTAAAATCCAAAAAGATTTAAAAAGACAGTAGTAAGAAAGATAAATTTGAAGCTCCAATAAAAAAACAGAATTTACACATAGAGAATAAGAAAAAATGAGGAATTAACATTGAAACAAAATTAAGTATAAGAAATGTTTACTCAAATCTATGAAGACAAATTTGAAAACCAGAATGATTGTGGAATTTTCCAAGAAAATCTAAATTACAAAACTGATTCCAGAAAACAAAAAATATTTGACATGTATTGATATCCATGAAAAATGGAGAATGTTGTCAAAGAGCTGTAGCTCAGAAGAGCACAGGAGAATTTTATCTGTTTTAAAGGACAAATAATTTGAATATTCTATTTTTCTGTTCTAGAAATTGAAAAGAAGAAAATCCATATCTTAAAAAATGAATTAGATAATACATTGGTACGAAATCCCAGAGAAGATTGAACACAAAGGAAAGGCCAGATTAACTTAAGAATAAAAAAATTAAATTCTAAATAAAATGTTAGCAAACAGAATTAGCAGCATTTAAAAGTATAATAAATTACATCCAAGTGAAACTTATTCTAGGGATGCAAGGATGGCTTAACATTAATAAGTCAATTGAAATGGTTCATCATACTGAAATGATTCATTTATGAAAAGGAATGATAAATTCTTGATTTTGAAAAAAATTCAGTAAAATAGGAATAGATGGAATAAAGTTAGGAAAAGAGTAAAATCAGATACCTGAAAGACCTAGAAAGACATGCTCTATTACTGCTAAGAATAAGAAAAATCAATAAGCTAGCAATATATGAGATAAAGATACAAAAACATTAGCTTTCACACACTTAAAAACAATCAATTAGAGGTTATAATGGAAGAAATGAGTGTATTTACAATATCAACCAAAAGCAAAAGTACTGAGTAATAAACAAGAAATGTCCAAGGCGTATATGAAAAAATAACAAAACCCAAAAAGTCTTTACCTCTGAAGGACACTTGAGAGAATCTTGGACAAATGAGAAGTCTGTCTGTATTTCTGGATGGGGAAATTTGACCTCAAAATTTCATTTTTTTCCTAAGTTAATATTTAAACTTAACATGATCCTAAAAAAAAAATCCCCAAACCCAATAGCTCTTTTTGGGGGAGGGAATGAGGAAGCAGGCAATGTGATCCAAATGCAAAAATAAACAAGCATAATCCTTCTGCAGTTTGTTTCTTTTTACTCAAAATTATGTTTTTTTAAAAAGTTTATCCACATTAATGTGGATAGTGATAAATCATTCACTCTAAATGCTGCATAATACTTTTCTGTTGTAAGAAGACACTGTAATTTATTAGCTGATGGATATTCTTCATGGAATGTCCTTAATGATGGTTCAAATCATCGTGTGTGTGTGTGTGTGTGTGTGTGTGTGTGTGTGTGTGAGAGAGAGAGAGAGAGAGAGAGAGTGTTAGTGTGTGTGTGTGGGGGGGTGAGGTGAGGGTGGGGTGAGGGGGTTCAGCCAAGCTCAGGGCTCCTGAACCATCCAGGGAATCTAAATTCAGACCTACCATGTGACAGTAATCTGGAATTTGGAATTCTTACAGATGACTTGAAATTTGTTTCCATCCATGGCCCTGATGCTCCTCTGGGCTGATGGAAAATGCATTTCCTGATCCCTTGTGAGAGCTTGATGCTGGAGGTTGTGCTGCCCCTGTGAGTATTAAAAGCATCCCTGCCTCTCCCCAGTCATTAGGTCTAAGACCCCTGTTGCTACCATAGTATCTGTTCTGCCACTGCTTTGACTTTGAGGTCCCTTGTTTTATCTGACTCCTGGGAATTCTAGTTCTTTTTTCTAAGCTTAGCTCTATATTCGGAATCTTTATGTTGCATTTTACTTAGCATTTCTGCGTGGCTGTGGGAGACTTGAGGAGCTTTTATGTTGCTCTGTTCACTGTTCACAGGCCCACAATGGGTCCCAGTACACTCCATCTCACCCACTTACTCCAGCCAGTGAGTTCTTTCTGTGTGCTGATTCTCCTTCCCCATCAGCCCTGGATGCCTTTATCCAGGTCACAGAGGCATCAGATCTGAGGAAGTGCTGTGCGCAGCATGCAGTGCAGAGGCTGCCCCAAAAGTGTGTGCTGATTTAGGATTTTAAAAACAGACATTAAGAGAAGTTGTTAAACTATTCTCCAAGTTGACACTAACCCATTAATCAGTACAGACGGTTCAACAATTTTCAAACCTATGGGATTATATTACCAACCAGTCCATCTGTGCAGCATCCACCCTGCCTTCTAGGACCTCGTGTTGGGACTGTGGGGAATGGAGGGTGTGGGGTCAGGAAAGAAAACCGGGACAAGATCTGTCCGAGACTGGACAATTGACTCCTCTGTGTTTGCCTTCCATGTGCCAAAGGAAAGATGTCTGATATAATCAGCAGAGACATGGGAGGATTCTGATTTGGGGTTTAGCCCATGACCAGAGCGATCAGGGGCTATTTAGGCAATTTGTCCTAAGTTACTCTAATATTAATTACTCAGCTTCCCACTGATTTGATTTGATAGCAGGGTGTCAAGCTACCATAGGGCCTCCTGACAGCAAGGGGGCAGCCAAGAGCAGCTCAGGACACAACAGGAGGAAAAGGCTCCCTGGTCCATGAACCCATGCATGGAAGGATGGGGAAGTATGTAAGCAGATGTTTAGGGCTGAATAGTACTAAGGACACAACACCTCAAATGCCTCTGGGGGCGTCAAGTCTCCCTTCTACTCTATACCTTGATGTTAACTTGGAAGGCTTGGGGACAATGCTATTCCAGTGAATTCTGGGAAACTGTAGCTCACAAAGCATCAGGAAGACAGAGGCAAGTGTTCCTTGTGGCTCCTGGAACCCCAAACATCCCCCTTCCCAGTGTAGAGGAAGCTCCAGTTTTGTCAATTTCCATGGGGCCTCTCTATCTTTTGTTTGTTTGCTTTTGGATAATCTAGCACAGTGATTCTCCAACTAGGGGCTCAACTTTGGCCCTTAGGAGTAACTGGTTGTCACAACATGTGTGTGTGTGTGTGTGGGGGGGGGTGTGGTTCTATGGTATCTACAGGCCAGGGATGCTACTAAACCTCCTGTGACACACAACAGAGAGTGACCCCTCCCCAAATATCAAGGATACTGAGGTTGAGAAATACTGCTCTAGAATAATCTTTCTCAATGAGTTTATGTTGTCCAAGGTGAGTGCCACACTTGAGGCTACTTTTGCTTACCCAGCCAACATCCTCAAGGTAAGAAGTCCTGGGTTTTTCTTAGAACTGGTGAGGAAAAATCATAGAGAATAAAATACATGTAGCTCTCTGATTCTTCTACATCAGGGAAAACAAAATGTAAATGAAAATTTCAATCTATTATTCTGCCACACCTTCAACCTGCCAAGCTTTGAGGTGCCTAAGGACTTCCAACTCCACAATTTTACTTTTCTTCCTTTCTTCCCCCCACTTTTGGCTTCATGCATCAGTGTGGGGATGGAAGTTGAAAGTGTGGGAGTGGATGAGATAATTTTTGGAGCACTTTCTCTGCAGAGTGGGAAGAGTAGAGGAACAAGGACAGAACCCCAAGGAATGCAGACATTTAATGAGGGGCACAAGGGAGGAAGAAAAGAAAGAAATTCTGGGGGCGGGGGGAGCAGGGCAAGGAGAATTGAGAAAGGGGGGAGAATTCAATACAAACATCTCACACATTTCGAAGCACTGACTATGTGCCAGGCACTGTGCTGGAATTCAGAGATGCTGGCGTATCGGGATTCAAAAGGTTTCAAGAAAATGAGGGCTTCATTTGCTCATCCGTTTATTCATTCCTTCATCTGTTCATTCAACAGCTCTTTACTGTGTGCTGCTTTGTCCCAGGCTGTTCTGAATACTGAGGTCAGTGATGGTCAAAAGAAAGTCTCCCCTCATGCAGCTGGTGAGAAAGACACATGAAAAGCAGGGGGAGAAGGGTTGCCAAAGAGGCCAATTGGGACTAGGGCTGAAAAGAGCCCAATTAACCTGGCTTCCTTGGGGATCACACAGCAGTTCCGACAGGCAGATGGGTGCCAGAGCTGACAGCAAATGGTTCAGGGCAGGGGACCAGGGCAGGGACAGGGGACAGGCTGGCACATAGTAGGTCTCTCCAAATGGTGGACAAATAAGCCAGTTTCTGGGTCACTGCCTAGAAGCAGCCTCAGTCTCCTTCCCTTGTGACTGATTAAAGCTGCTCTTACCACCTTTGTGCTTTTTCTGAAAAGTTTGACGTAAAGGAGGAAATAAAAAGTGTTAGAGTCCTAGATTCCGGAAGGGGGAAGGAGGTATTTATTATTCTTTTAGTATAAGACAAGGCACAGTACCAGGAAAGGAATAATCAAAGTTGACAGCTCATAGGAGATGACAGGAAATGGTTTGGAGGAGTCTCCTTTGGTCACGAATGTTAAGAGAATTTGTGCCGAACGAGGGAGTTAACTGTGAGAGATTTTGCCTCAAAAACATGTCTAATTTCATTTTTTAAACCCTTCTAGCAGAGGTGAAGCGGGCTTGTATCTGTGGATTATACCACCCCAGGAGGGCTTCGGAATAGACATGAAAATAAATTAGTTATGACAGCCACTTCCTGGAGTCGGCAATGCTGGCTCTCACTTGAGATCCGGTGGCCATCGGAGCT